TGTTTGGGTTCATTTATTCCCCAGAGAAAGTTGTTAGTAAAATGTTGTAAACAGACAAAACTGAGAGACCTTCATCACGCAGTTTAAGTTGCTCTCTAACAAAAAGGCCTTAAACTGTGGAAAACCTTGTTTTTAGTTTTTATTTTTGAACTTGGCAACACAACCAAAGCCCAGCCATGTAGCACTGTAAATAAATGCACTTTGCTTTACTTTGTCATTGTACCAACTAAGCAAACAATTAGATGGAAGCCTTAGAGACATGATGATAGAAAAGAAAATCAAAGAGTTTAAAATATCAGAGGGTAAAACAAACAACTTTTGGGTATGCCTTTGTATTGTGCTGTTCGATTTTTAGCCTGAGCTCATGTAGCATGAGGGGATTAACGATCCCAGTAAGCTGAGATTTCAGCTGCTATGTCTCTAGTGAAAATCAGGTTCTTTGTTAACCTTCATGTCATCAACACAAAAGAAATGCAGTCTGTCAGATGATTTAAAAGTCTGATTTACTTTTATTATATAAGTGCTTATAAAAATGGAAATTTGTGAAATCTTCCAGTTAAGCAAGGAAACTTAAAAACTGTCAAGCTTACACCTGCAGGTATTATATCAAAATGAAAAACTGCAGACACAACCTGAATATTTTAACTTTTACTAGAGTGTAGTGATCATAGCTATCAAATAAAGAATTACAATATAAGCCTCCTAACACCAGTTATTTCTGAAACTTAGATATTTGCACATACAGATATTGACTGACCAAAGCAAGAATGAGTTTGATCATATGCCTTAAATAATAGAGTCAGCTGCAGGAGCTCTTGGAAATGACTAAAGAGAGAACCAGCAGTTAGAGCCCGATGGCTCCAATGACTGAATCGGTGGGTTTGTGCTTCTTCAGTGTGCATGGCTGCAGGAATGTGAGAGGAAATGGACCCAAATGAGCTTTAAATTCAACTATTTGTACATTTACGAGACCTTCTTTAAAAAGCAATTAATCTAAAAAAAAAAAAAAAAACTAGATGAAAAAACAACAACAACAAAACAATAAATGTAATTGCATTAACAGTCAGCTTCCACTCTGGAGCCCATGCTGAGTTAGCTACATTCTTTTTTCAAAAACAGTCTTTTTAGAGTAGAATTTGGGATAAGGAAAACAAGTTTACTGATAAAATGCTGAAAATAATTATTTCATAATCATAATAATAATTTCATAATTTTGACCACTTGGTGGCAGCAGAATCAAGTAAGCAGAACACAATAAACTTCAGTCTTGGTTTTCATCTGATCCCGATAGAATAATTTTTTGTGTCATTTGTTTGGCTCTGGGCAGGTAGTCTAGACTGAGGAGAGATTTTCTGAAAACAAATGATCCTCTGAGAGCAGTGAGAGCAAATCAACTGTAAGACAATGAGCTCAAACCATAGTCTGTATATAAATGATGGACATGACTGCTATGATGTAACCCGCTGGTTTGAGTCCTGTTTTGGAGCCTCGAGCTGGAAGTAAGAAATGGAGGAAAAGGAAAAGGAAAGGAGCTGACCGGCAACCCAACGATGCTGCACAATCTCAAGGGATCATTTTCTCATAGACTTTTAAGCATTCAGAATTTCCCTTGCCCCCTGCTGGCCATTAGAAAGAATGCAGGTTTAAGGCACTGTCTTCACTTACACAAATGGGGAGGTTTGTCCATTTTTTATATACAGACTGTGGCTGAAACTCATTGTAAAGTTTCAAAACACTGAAGAGTTTAGGGTCTTCACTATAACAACACATTTGTTAATAATATAAAAGAATCTGTTATAGTTGCTATATTTTTGTACATATTCATGGGCTAAAGCACTGAAGCTATGTTTTACCATAAGTTGTCACATGCCTTCTCAATGAAAATATTTAGTTATATTAAATTCAGAACCATTTTTGTACATGTGCTTCCAAACTGTAGTAAGATAGCTGTCTTATTTTTAACATTTCCAAATGCTGTTTATTTCTTTCCACTTTTTTTGCAGATCCATGCTAAACACCCTGTGAGAAAGGTACATCGATGCTGTTTGGCAAAACTAGCCAGTTTAGTGTAAACTCACTCCAAGACTGTAAATGTTTCCATGCTGGTAACTGTTCATGCCAGGACAAAGAAAAAAAATGCTTGGGGCAGAGAATTCCTTGAATGAACCCGAGCCCTGCCTCCTTTATTATCTAACACAGTCTTTTCAACTGACATAACTTATTGCCCTGATGTTATTTATTAGGGTGATAATCACGAAAAGATTTAGTGTAGTTCCAGCTTGTCAGCCAAGGCAATTAACTTTAATGACAAATAACAATGGCTAATATGCAAAAGACAAGCTTGGCACAAAGACTTGTTGACATATTTATATTGGCTGGTTTGTGTAGGCTTGTATAGGGAAGTGTGCACAGTGGGAGAAATTGGTAGTGACAACTGCTATAGCTACAGCTACAGCTGTGTTTAGCAGCAGTGAGAACATGATCCCTTACTTCACATGTTGTGAATAATTAGCAGCAGTTTCAGCAGGGCAGAGAGTGACATCACTTCAAACTGCTTAGGACAAGCTATGATTGTCAGATGTGAGGACAGAAACATCTAGCTTGTGTTTGCTCATTTGTCTCTCCATGACAGGAATATTTAGTCGGTAAAGTCGAAGTTTTAAAAACTGAGAACCACAAAATAGTAACAAAAACAATTACACTGAGAAATTCTGAAATTACAGCTCGTGTGCCTTCATATTCCAAATTCTTAATGTCATGCGACGACAACAGAGCTAACATTCAAGTCTGAAGCTGAAGAAGTGCTGGTGGAAAGTCACACCAACTGTTGGAGAATCAGAAGAAAACCACTCAGCTGCTCTCCTAATGCGCTATGCAGGTGCATGCCATATCAGTACAACTTCTGGATTTGTTGGCAGTGATCTTGTACCAGGAAGTCAAAGAATCCACTCGTATTTTTCTATTGATTAAAGCTGGAAAATGGTGTGCAGAAGGCCTTGCTTTTTCTTCGGCAGCAGGTTTGGTTTGTCTCACTCAGGACAAACAACTGTGAAGGGCTCATACACCTCCAGAGTTACTGTATGTGTAGTTTGGATGGTTTCAGGATGTGAAAAGACTGAATGTACAAACTGTTGGTCACCACATGGTGAGGGGTGTGACTAGCCATCCTGGCATCAGGAAATGAGCGAGCTAAATATCCATAGATGCAGGGATTAATCCGTTTTTTTTTAGTCAAGTGAAGAAAGAACCAGGTATTTTGTGCTGCTATCACTTGTATTGCTCATTTACATTCATCTTCAGCCAGGTCACTTCATCACTGGATAATCTTGGGGAGCACCCTGATCATCCAGTCCTGCTTTTTTCCTCCTTGTCCTATGAGTTTTGTGCTATTTGTCTCAGCTCTGATTGGCTCTGGATTTGGTGGCATCACATTCCTGTTCAGTGGATAGGTCTAATTCAGACATGCCTACCTCAATGCCCACGATGATTGAAGTGTCTGAATCACTGCTGAGTGGAGGCTGGTGCTCACCTGAAGGGCAAGAGAGCAAGTTGATACATTAACTGACACATCACAGGCAGCTGAGTCTTTAATACTTTTGGCTAATGTCATCGCCACTAAAACATGTGGTAACTGATTTTTCAACCTTTGTTTTTTTAGAGCCAGCAGAAACATGTTGTGAACACACTAACAAGGCACCTTTGAATGAATATAGAGAAGTTGCAATTCATGAGAAACATTACCATTTAGAGTGGCGCTTTGGGCGGCATCTGTTACATGTAAGGCTTACTTTTACTCGCACTTTTCCAATGGAGAGTAAAATCTGTGGCTCTTAAGCTGCAGCTAGTTCATTAATTGTGTCAGCTGTTTAGAAGCCAGCGGGAAATGCAAGTTTTAGATTACTCCTTCATTTTTGTCACACTGTTGTCACATTGCTCTGTCTTTGCATCAGGCTGCCATCTGTTCAGTAACAACTTTATTCTGCAACTTGACAAGAACCCAAAGGGCTATTCACCGGGCTATAGTCCACCAAATTCTGGTTTACGTCCGGGGCTTTGCTGGAGGCAGAGTGGGAGGAGGTTAGGTGTGTGCATGAGGACATACACAAATATCCCATAATGCCGTTCCAAATTAAATACAAGGGCAAAATGCATAGTGTGAAGGCTGCGGTTAGTTCACGCCAGACGCATCCCTAATTCTGGAGACAGATTGGCCAGGTTTTAATAACCTGTTGGGGCGGTGTGTGAGGATGCGTTCATGACCTTTATCAACGTGTAGCGCCTGCACTACACTCACTCGTGACACAGAGTCATCCGATGGTGAGTTACAACTCCATGGCAGAGTATATGGTAGTTAACACAGAACCTTCTTCCAGCCCAAAGTTACTCGCCAGGTGGCAAGGACCCTTTGTGGTAACTCGGAGGGAGGGGGTCCTAGACGTGAAGTGGTATGGTCAGACAGGGGAGGAACCACACAGATATATCACCTCAACCTCCTCAATGCATGGAAAGAAGCCAAAACC